TTTTAGGGGATTTACTTCAAACACCAATACAAGTGAAATAATAGATTAATATTAAGATACGCCATTTGGATGAGTTTTTATTAACAGAATTAAACTATTACGAGAATGCTTATTATTTGTACTTTATAAGATTTTATAAAAACCAAGGGATAAGTTTTTCCACCAGCTAACTAATCTATCAAGCATCATTCTGAAAGTGTTGTACGTTCAGCTTCTCTAACTTTCAGCGTTTAAGCAAAAAGATGAAGTTTTCTCACGAATCAACACTAATTAGAGAACTATTGGATAGTGATTTCATTTCTTGATGAAATCTACTCTCAAATCAGTCAAATCCTTACAATGAAACACTTAAAAAGTTTTAACCACAACAGGAAGCAAAGCAATGATCTACAAGTTATGTCTAGGAATGGCCAAATTATCACTGTAGAACTCTGCATAGAGGCGCATTAGCTCAATTTGTTATATTTCGGAAAAAGCTCATATAAAAGTGGAGGGAGAATATGCAATGAGACTTCATAATCGCTGCTTACTCACCAATTGACTGCGATTTGAACGACGTAAAGTACTAGCATTATCAGAAGCGGTCTAGTTTGTTCCTTAAGGCAAACCACTTACATACACAGATCTGAGGTGAGTTTAATGCTTAAGTAGGGCATCTGAGCCAGTCTGAAGAGTTTGTTGAAGGTACCTGTGAAGTCCCAGAACGCATTTTACAATTCTGTCCAGATAACCATCTGTTACGAGTCAGCACCAATTTAAAAAAACATGAAGAAACCTGTCTGACCTGGAAATCGTCAACATTTAAACCTACTATGGAAAAAAATATACGACGTGTTTCTTTTGCCTTCATTCTACTGACTTTAAAAACATTCTGTTTGTTTCAGTAACTATGGCTGTACCAAAATGAAGCAGAATGATGCTTCTTAAATAATCGTATCGTTAATCTCCACCTGTACATGGTACGAGGTTCGATCCCCGGCCGACGCATCCTTTGCCTCGCTAGGCCAGAAATAATGCTGGTGAAGAGGAAAGGTTAGGCATGAGGCTAGCAACCCCATCCTGTAAAATAAGCACTTCTACAGAAACTTCAAGTCACTAGCTTGAAGCCCTATGTTCCACTGGGAACGTGAAGGAAATAAAAAAATCTCCACCTGTAACATCAGTTATCTTGTAAGTTGAATGTAAATAATATGTTAACAAGCATAAGAAAGCGGTTCTCAGTCAAACCGATCGAATGGTTGTGATTCATAGGCAAATAACACTTATTTTACGAGTTGATCACGGATTGATATCAATTAGAGAAACATTGAAAACCAAGGAGTACTGGACAGCTGTTTCATTCTAGTTTCAACGGTTCTCTAATTGATATCAATCCGTGATCAACTCGTAAAAACAAATCTAATCCTTACGAACCAATTATTGAAAGTAATACTGCTTAAATTACAGTGGGATACGAGTTTGGTCAGTAATTTAGCCATAGAGCTACAATATACAGGGTTTAACAAAGTTCTGATCTCTCTCTGTTCACTTCATTTCGAGACCAGAATCCTGTGATGGCTCACCATTTCGTCTCAGCTCCTGACATCACTACACTGTAATAGATCTCTCCACTGAAATAAGATTACTTCTAACAGTTTCACCAAATATTAACTATTATTAATATTATAGGTTAAGATATTTAATACCCATGATTATTTTTTCATTTTTTACATTCTGAACGGAGTATGATGTTTCAAACTTGAGCTTTGTAGTTTCAGTAGCTGTCGTGCTGCTAGTCTCGATTCCAGCCTTCCATCATTACCGAGTTTAATATCAGCCAAGAGAGGTTTAGGAGTGCATCGGTCGGGAATCGAGCCCGGACCACCTGCGTGGTCAGTGAGAATTCTATCATTGAACCTCTGACACAATTTATTATTTAGTGAATTTTATTTCAAATCCTGATCAGCAAACTGCAATACATTGTCGGAAGGATTCTAAATTTACGTAACAACCTTTGAAAAAGTGGAACTGCAGTTTTAAAATAAATTAAAATATCGTTTAGAAATAGTAAATTAATACTTCGTTTTGTATAACTGAAGTTATTTAACCTTGAATGGTCATTTTCGGAATGCAATAGTCAACATTCGTTGAGAAACAACATTCGACTATTTCATGGTTTACTTACTGATGAAGCTTTAAAAGAGCATATTTGTGAGAACTGATATAATAATTCAGGATTGCTTCAGCATCCATACAAAATGTGTAAACACTCGTGCATCTTTTTGTAATAAATGAATGGGAAAGAAGATTATTATTTAACGTTTATATTTTGCTGTTATAAATATTTCCGTAATTTAGGTGAATCTGATAGTTGATTCTGTCTTTAAAAGCGATTCCCATGCTATGCGTATTATTTCCATTTCGAATACCTATTTATTGCCCGTTATATGGGAATGTGTAACATTCGTATTAAAATACACAGTCATCATCGAAATACTGTTTACATAAACGTGGTTAATTTAATATAAAAACAAGGCGAGGGGGGATCATAGGCAGTAGGTGAGACTGCTGGACAATCCAACGTCTCACAGACGCTAAAAGCAATCTGACAAGAATGTTTTCAATACTGTAGGAAAGTAGTATGTTCTGAGAATGAATTTCAATATGAAATAAATAATTAAAATGACAATTTGATTCTCAGTTTACTTTTTGACTATTCAAATAATATCAAATAAAATTTAGCTAAATACTAATATACACTAGTGATCCGATCTAGCTACAGACTTTTGTCAACAGGTGCCTTCTCTGGTTCCATACTGAAGGTCAAATGGCCTGCCAGAAGGAATTAGCAACACGAAACTCTAGCTGGGAACAAACCAACCAAGAGCTGATTGCCCAACAGATATGCAGGAGAGAATGGAGATGGATTGGGTATACGCCACTGAGGAGGCAGTCGAATGACATCGCGCGTAATGCAGGCCATTGTTCGAATGGAATCCCACTGGGAAGCAATGAGTGGGTCGTCGGTGCGAGTGTCACATACAAGAGATCGTGTGGCGAGGAGGAGATGAGAGATTATGGTCAATCGTAGACACAGTTGAAGAGAACAGCAGAAAATAGAAGAAAGTGTAGATGTGTTGTTGAAGCCCTATGTTTCACTCGGAACCCTAGGGAATAATACTAATTGTGATCCAATAAATAATTGGCCATAATTTCGAAGGCAATGAAATGTATTATAGAAAATTATATTTAATTTATGTCAAAAACAGTGATACAGCAGTTCGTAACCTTTAAGTCAACCTAGCTCTATTGGGCTTGGAATCTAAAGGTGACATGTAGTAATCATCAGACTTTCGAAGGCAGTTGGATGGTATTGCATAGACTGTGATGATGTATTTCACTTAAGATAATTATTATTTGTAGACTTCAAACGCAATGTCATCAAGGTAAATTTTATTGCGAACGTTTATGGCTTGGGAAGCTACTGAAAGCTATAGAGCACTAAATACATATTTTATTCTAATCTGAAACTCTCCGTCAGTTAACACACATAGTAGGAATGGAAAGCAAGACCATCAAGTTAAACAACAAGTACTTGACAGTTCAGCTACTATCCTAAAGGTTTATATTTGTATCAGGAGGTACAAGGGCACCAATATCAAATGTAAAAGGATTTCAGATGTAATGGCTCCATTTACAAATGAATGATAACCTATAATATATATATATGACCTGCAAAAGTTCCTGTTTCAAACTAGATACCAACAAGAGTGGGACAGCAAAGCGTAGCAGATCTCTAACTCAAGACAGACGTGAAAACTGGCAATAAAAGTCAAAAATTAATCGACAGGGAGTCTTGCATGTAGGATTTGTGCTGTTGAGGTTCATCAGCTAGGGATTATCTCTCTCCCTATATTCCATTTCAGTTTGGGAAGACAAAAATGCAGATTACTCAGTAAACAAATGAAACACATTACTATGCTACCAATCTTAGTATTGAATTTTTAATTTCAACACTGCACAACATAGGTGTGATTATTAGAGGTTATGAAGGGATCCCCTCTCCTATTAATCGAGCCCTGATACCTAGTTACAATGTACTTCAGTACAGTGTCGTACCTCACTTATTATTCAGGAATAGCAAGACTAGCTGTTAATCTTAATATGGTAGAGGAATGTAGACTGAAAGATACTCAGATAAGAAATAATTACCACTTTGACTTGTTCCGTTTAGAGTAGTTAGAATCAAACTCAGTAAAACCCGATTGTTCATCATAAAGACGTCACAGAGCATTAGTACCTACTTATAATGATGCTGTTGCATGTAAACAGTTTGAGACACAATAGAAATATGTGTTAGAGCTGTGATTATGTATGGAAGCTTGTTATTATTATTTGCTAAAGAACATTTATTGACTAAATAGATAACTTTGCCACTTTTTTTAGAAACACTGAACTATACTACTTATATATCCTTGTATATAATATCAGCGACATCTCTGCTATCTGCGGTAATCAGTCTTTTTCTTAACATTTCCAGAGAGATATTTCTGATCGTCTTCATCAAGTTACCTGGTCTAATATTTATACATACATTAATGTAATTTATCTGGAATTTCAATAGAATGTTGACTAATTGTAAAGAATCATAGTAATTTCTGGGTTATTTAAGAGGACTTAAACAGTAAATATTTAAATTAAGCAAAAATATTGATTGTTACTGGGCTGTAAATAGGAATATCTACTTTGTACAATAGCCAGTTAATTTTGTTTATTGGACTAAAGCTTACTATCCGGTTAATTCTATGATCACTTAATTTTCTGCCATGGGTCATGAAGGCAAGCTAAATCTCTCATCGACGCAGTAAAAATACTTCTCATTCAGTCACAAAAAATAATTCATACGTCTAGATGTAACAATATATTTTTGACATAGTTTCGATTGAAAATTGTGTTTGATTAGGAAAAGTAAATCAAAGAACTACTCATTATTTCCTATAGTTGATTTTGAGTGTTTTTATCTGCTTTCATTCTGTAACATTACAAAATTAAATCCGAATTTGAAAGATGACACCATTAAGAGTATTTTTTTGATCCATTAAATTAAGCAAAAGAAATATTCGGCAATCCATAAACAATCATATTGAATGGTTCCAATGTTGGTGTCATTTTCGTCTGTATATTTTCATATTTTCCTTCAAGATGATTCATTTCATCGAGTGACTTTTCTTTTGACATTTGAATGTCCTTGACTTCATTGATTTGTTTTAAACGCACTTTGTATTCATCTAATTCTTTTTTAAAAAGTTCATACTGTATCAGCAAAGTTGACTGTCCAATAGTATAGGCTTGATCTAGTAAATCTAGTATGATTAAAAATCAATACAGAGATGTATTTCAGACAAAGAGAACAATAGAATGGCGATTTTAAGCGGTAAATTTGAATAGTTTTATAAAGGAGGCATTTCATTCTGAAAATAAGTGATAAATATTACTTTGATTTAGTCTTACAAAGACCTTAGGATGGAAGCGTATGAAGTCCGAATTACTGAGCAAACATAGTTAGTATAACGTACAAGTGTATCATTTTAGGCTACTACAGTTTGCACTGTAGCAGAGAAGATTGTCACGGAGACAACGAACGAGACAACGAATAAAAAAAAATAAAAATGTAGTGAAACAAACTTAATTGTTTCGACTGAAACATTAAAAGTTAGACGTATCAATTTGTCAAATACGATCAATGTAATGAACCCTAAGACTATGTAAACAATAAAAAGAAGACTTTGATGCTTCGCGTAGCTTAAGAAAATGAAGCGAGACAGAAGAAGAAACGTCTATTTACATCTTTGGGAGATAACTTGAGTTCTTCCATATTTTTAACCGTGTCTTTTGGGCCCAAATCAAAACACACAGGATGAGGATGTTCAGTGACATAATTCTAAATGAGACTGAGATCAGGATATGTTACAACACATGGAGATAAGTAAGTGCTTCATAAAAGTAATGACATTTAATAGGATAGTCAAAATCTAGCGTCTTAACTGTTCAGGTTAGCAGATAAGAAGAATATCAGATGAATCACCCATTTTAAGGTGTTGAGTATGTTATCCCACAAATGACTTTATGATTTTTGCTAATAAAATACAGATAACTTTCGGGTTTAAAATTTAAATATTTTCATCAAGTGGTGTATTATGCGGAATTTACTCTACTTAACTTCACTCAGTAACACTCAGACTATATTTACGTATATACCAGTTTTGTAAAGCGGAATAGGTTGAGTCAGAATGAATAGTTAAACTAAATTTTGTGATGAAATAGTTCACCTTATCTGAAATGGCTGTACTTCTAGGAAAATAAGTCTATTAAGCATGCACAGAAAGTTTGAATTCACTATAAATTTATTATACGGTCAGTTACTACTGATAATAATTATATTAAGTTTCTATAATTAACTGTGATGAGACAGAAGTATTTATTCTATGCTTGACTCAAATCTTTGGGATCTTCTCTTCAACTGGTAATACGAAATGATAAGTATTTGTACACGGTTTGATGGAGTTTTTCACTTTTTCCAGACATTTTTCCAAATTTTGCACTAAGTTATATACTACTCATGAGTAGGCCAAGAATATGCGGAAAAGTTTAACGTTTTTTCAAGAGCAGATCCTTCTGAACAGCCGTATGGTAAACGAAAATGACTGGAGTAATAGGTTTTAAATGTGTGTAAAATGTGAAAACTTAAATTCATCTAGGCTGTACGATAATAATTTCCCAGAAGGGCTTCGTTTGCTTTCGGAGGTGAAATCAATAGACGAGGTTGTGAAGTTACACCGATTGAGATGGTTAGCACATGTGTTACGCATGACTAGCCATTGCCTTCCACGACAATGGGCAATGTTAGCTGACTGACATAGAAACAAGTTGGAAAAAAGCTAGGGGTGGTCAAACTAAAACATGGCTTCATCAGTCAATGAAATCCATAACAGTTAGTATAAACCAGCCAGTCAAGTAGGAAGGTGTAGACTGGCTTCCTGGTTGGGGTCCTCGGGATGGTAAAAGCCAGTGGCTGGACACAATTGATGATATGGCTCGAAACTGTTGTCAAAGGAGTAGATGCATCCAATACTTGTGACTTATAATATCCAATAAAACTATATTTGTTCTTCCATATTTCTATCTTTTTGCCTCATGTCTCTGTTTTGAAACTCGTTTTGCTCTTTTATCTTGCTTAATATGCTTAGTGAGGTGTAGCGACTCGAACTGCTGCAAGTCTGTGCAAAGTTCCACGTTGAAACCAGTCAGTCCTATTTACTGAGAAAAATCAAAACCATGAAATCTATTTTAAATGGGATCTAAAATACATAATACAGATCAACTCCAAGCTGTGATACTTTTTTAAATTTAGTTCACAAAACAGCAGAATGCCTTTTTGACTTCTGTCAGTGTCTTTCTTATATTCTAATATGCTTATTGTTCATTGTTGTCCTTTTGTCTGTAATGCTAAAAATTGTATCAACATGAATCAATGCAGTTTTTATGCAGGGGTTGACAAACCGATTTAAGTGAGTAGTTTCAAACTCTTATACAAATCCCTCCATAATGACAGAGGTTAGTTTCCGGTGTTACTTGTTCAGTGGTAATTATTAAGGAGTACTAACGTGATGATTTATGTCAGTTGAATCTCATCAGACAGATATCTCAGAAATTAGAACCGATATAGGGTGTTTGCAAAAATCACCATTTTGAAGCGGGATTTCTCCTTCATTGCTACCCATCCACACATGGTTAATCTGAGTATCTAATGTCCTTTCTGTTAATTTGCTTTTCAAAAAAGCAGTGTTAGAATATCGATTAATATGTTGTATTTTATTTAAAGTTGAACTAAGTCTTAGTTTTCAGTTCACTTCCGTGGCGGACCATAATTCCAGTAATTTAAATATATATGGTCTATATAAATTAAATCACTTTGGGATTTGGGGCTGCCATATAGTTACTAACGCAAAAGACTCTGTCGCTTAAAGAATGGATTTTGTTACAGAATCTGAGGAAAGACATCAACAATTACACTAACTACAATCACTTTCAGTAGTATAGAAATGCTCGTTATCTCTTCATATACTGATTTTGAAAAAATAACCAGTATTTTCATTAGATGTATTGGGAACCAGCTGATTTAAATGCAGTTTTGATTACGAAGCAGCATCATTTGAAGGATCATTGTAAACTAGGTAGCATTGGGTAACCATTTTATACAAGTGTTATACTCTTTAGTAGAGTGCTGCTGTGACCCTACTGGGTAGCCAAAAGAATTTGGTATATGGTCATTTAGTTGGAATAGAATCGAATATGGATTCTGGGGATCTGATTAACTTCTATGTAGGATTCATTTACTTCATACTTTCATCAGTTCTACAGTTTAACTGGTGGATGGTGACTAGCACTGGAATGCAGAATGTGCGTTTCGTCCTATTCGGGACTCTTCACTGGATGTACCTGCATTCCTCAGTGAGTAAGTGATGATGTCCCCACTGAGGCTCGTACCCAGTGCCCATAGTTTCAAACGCCAAAGCGTTATCCACCATGCCACTTGACTGAAGAGTTCCAAATAGGACGAAACGCACATCCTGGATTGCCCTGCTAGTCGCCATTCACCAACTGACTTCAAGTTACATGACCAGATATCGTCGAAGCATCTGCACAAGGAGCCGACATGTCAAACTGATACCGAGCACTCTGGTCAAATCAATTATTCAGGAAAATTTTAAAGTGAATTAAAGTTCTACAGTTTGTAATATTTGTGATAAATCTGATATTTTCAAAAATAAAGCACAGTTAATAGTTACTTACGTCCTATTAGTTTTTCTAATCTAAACTGATTGATTTTTAGGCTTGTAGGCCATTGCAGAGTTATCACAGAACGTGATCCAGTTAGTGTCGTGGTGACAGCTGTAGATAAAGCTTGCTCCAACTCATGTTCTATTATCCTAGATGAAAGTGTAACAAAGAAAAACACTCAGTAACTGCGTTTATGATTTACTGTGCCTTACTTCTTTGAAATAAATATTAGTAATTTTAAATTTTACTACTAAAGACAAGAACTATATAAGAATGTATACATGTTAACTTAAGTCTGATTTGCTTAAAAATTTGTGGCAGAATAGGATATAGTTATGACTTCAAATAACCAGAGGTCTATTGGTTCCATATTGGAGGGATTTTTGGTAGAATATGGCTTAAATGTTTCAAATCAAAGGAATATGTTAGATTAGCCATCTTTGGTTTTCTTAAATGGTAGTCCAAATATTATTGACTTTATGAAAACACCCTGAAAATTAGTTACACGCGACATAGTGAATCTGAACATTATTCTTTTGGGTTCCGAATGGAATATGAGGCTAAAACAGTATATCTCTATTTCATTATGTTCTCTGAAGTCCTATTTAGTTGTCCCCACACATGCCCATAGGCTCTAATCACCCCCTCACACCACCTCCACTATGTCACACTTGGACGTCCAACTTATCATTCACCATTTGGTTTCCACCTTGCATGTGATGTCACTCAATGGTCGCCTGGACTTCGAAAAATAAATTCTTGATTGGTATATTCCCAGAGTTTCTTGTCGCTAGTTCCTTCTGGCCATCTAATCTTCAGTACTAAAAGAAGCCAGATGCTGACAAAAGTCTGAAGTCTGTTGGAAATGCATTACGTAGGCCAAGTCTCTGACCGATATAGAAGAATTGACTTAACATCGGTGTTGAAAATACGAATTCTGTTCTCAGTTCTGGGTGCAGTGGATTCCAAAACTGATTCCAGAGTGATAAGGTTCTGCCTTGACTTTCTGATACTGGTCTAGACATCCTCATCCGTACCACCGTCTGTAGTTGAAATGAAGTTGGCTAGATAGGTGAAAGAAGTGACCCCTTTCAAATTTCTTCCGTTGATAGTGATTGGTGCTTATTGTTTTTGGTTAGTTATCTTCATCACTCCGCTTTCTCTATGTTCACTGGAAGTTCTGTCTTTGCTGCTTCTTCTGTCAACTTGTTGGTTTTTACCTGTAAGACTTCCAGTTCATGTGACATCGGACATTAATCGTCCGTGAAGTCCAGATCTTCTAGAGTCTTCTTATCAGTCCAAACACACCGATTTTCGTGTAGATTGCTCTGATAATTGGGGAAAGATAAAGAATAATTCTTCGCAATCTTTGAAAATCTCTATAGAATCTAGAGTCGAATTCATCACTTAAAAAACCAAACACTTTAAGGTATAAATCCAATACTTTTTACTTTGGAAACTTGAATCACAGAATGTGATCTATCTGATACCATAAATGACAATTATGAAAGCAGACGAAATGACATGAAATTACATACTACTGATTGATTTGAGTGGTCAAAAACCACTCACGTTAACTGCTAGTACCTACTAGCAGAATATCCTCATATTACCCTATACCCTTTTTTTATTCCATTACGTTCACAGTGCAACATAGGGCTTCAAGCTATAGGCTTGAAGTTTCGGTAGCAGTGGTGTTTATTTTTACGGGATGGGGTTGCTAGCCTCATGCCCAACCTTCCCTCTTTACCAGTCCCATTACTGGTTGGTCGAAAGTCATAAGTCACATAAAAATAAAAAGCAATGGAACTTACGTTTTATGAGCATCTAATTTCATTTGTCGGAGACGACTACTTCTTGTATAAATTTTATCCAGATGACAAATAAAGTAGCAATCTATTTAAACAAAGGTTATTCACGTAAAACAAGATGAATAATCAAATAACATCTGAATGGAACCAAAAGCATTATCGAGTCAATCAACCAGGGAGACAACATGCCAATACAGGCCAATGAATTTATAGAAAATCAAAAATTTCAAATCATTTAAAAAACGGTAACATTTAATATGTGTACAACTTAAAGTCCTCAATTGAATATTTTATGAAATATTTTTCTTAGATCAAGTGATTCGATGATATGAAGTTGAATACTTATAGGATAAATGAAAAAAATTGAAAGTCTTGCATAATCCTTTAACGTTGATAAAAGTAGAAGTTTAGATTACTCATCACGAAGTAGGTGGAGTGGATTTTCGGTATAGGACAATCTGACTGAAAGTCAACTCAGTTTTACTCATAAACTTTATTCTTATACTGGTTGAGGTTTACTAGACTAATGAGTGGTTGTTAAATAAAAGAAATAAATCTGAACGAAACTGTATAGTTGGCATCTTTACTTTCTAATTTAAGTGAAAATAAACAGTTTTAAGGAATATAATTTCAAGATGGATGCTTTCCCAAATGTACTTACTATATCATATTATTATATATCATGTAATCTATTTTTTTCTGAATGCATCATGGTGAAAGAAGGTAGCAAATCTTATCTGACGTTACACACCTTATGGCGAGTGCTACTGATAAGATTTATCAGTAGTACATAAAGAGACGTTCATCGGTATAAAAACATCAAATAGCAGGGAAATAGATTTGATGTCAGAGAAAGCAAATGATACAGAGTTGCAGAGATACATGGTAGACGTGAAAGGAATACAAAGAAACACAATATGAAGACCAGAAGTAGCACAACATAGAAGATGTGTGCGAATGATGCCTTGAAGTTAAAGTGCACATAATTTCGCTTTATAGAGATACCAAATCGCAACTAAATATTTCTCTACCGAGTATTCGTCTTCTACCGTTTCAACTTGGAGGTTATTAACAAAGATCCTTTTGAAAATCTTTGTGCAGTAACACAATACTAAGGTCTGTATTGGAAAGTTCTGAAGAACTGTGTGACTTTGACTTATTTCCTAATAACATTAACTGCGAAGGAATGTAATTGGAAGAATTTCATTGTTGCCGTGAAACAACAACTTCAGGGTGCTCAAGACAGTTAGTCATAAACAATAACAGCTAAATCACCAAACACATGAATAATCGGAAGCAAATACTGTAATAAAGTTGAACACATAACATGAAGTAAACGAATCCTCGGGAGTTCAAAAACCAAATTAGCAAGATCTAATATTTAAGCGGTATCTTAACTTAGTAACAACGTGACAACCAAACGTTATTAATGCGTTAGTTGACTCGCGTCACAATTCTTCAGTTCACGTAGCTAAAAACATACCTATTCTGGGCGTTACTGTGATGAGAAGAAGAAAGGTATTACTGAGTTAGTTTACATGCAAGACATTCATTTTATCGTTCCTCAAGTGCATGCCGTATCATAGTAAGAATATGTTAAGAAAGAAAGTATTAAAACTCAAACTCAAAATTTTCTTTTTCATGCTCTGTATGATTATTAAATGTGAATAGGAAACTGCAGAGCTGATAATCCAGATTTCATAAAGTTTTCAGAGAATTCCTATAATTTACTTAAAATACTAAAGGATTATGAATTTACGTAAAGATTAATTGTTAATTTACTCTTGTATTATTTCTAGTATACAGCCAAATAGCGTGCATTTCAAAGTGATAAAACACTACTCAGATTGGATTTCACCACTGCTTGATATAAGCAGAAGAAAACAGACTAGAGAAGAAAGATGAAAGAACCTGCCATCCTAAACTTAGACTCTTTAGACATTTTACCCTTGAACCGTATAATTTATAATTTGAGAATTTAGTTCTGTATGTTATCAGCTGGCTGAAGTTGCTACTCAGAATTTAGATAGTTTAAACTGCTTCAGCTCTATGAGGTCTGCTGCGTGCTATTAAGTTTGGTAGTAAAATCTTTGGCTTCAGAGGATAAAGGGTTTCCAGAAAGTCGTAGATGCTTTAATAGTGAGTGTCAGAAGACAAGAAACTTGGGTTGCGTGCCACTGATATCTAGCCTTTTACACTACATTACACTGAAATATAATGTATAAAACTGCTGTTCCCCAGCTTATTGATCATATTGTGGTAAGAGCGGGCTGCAAGCCAAAAATTGTGGACGCCAATTTACGTCAGTGTTCAAGACCCGAGTCAGGGTCATGCGAAATCCGATAACAAAGCTTAACTTTGAGAAAATCACCAGCCATTCACAGCGGAGTTAAAATGTGTAAATATGATTCACAGATATATAGCTTGATTTTTTGAGAAACGGCCACAAAGAGATAACAGAATAACCTTCAGCAAGAAAACAACCGATCAGAAGAGGTTGCTTCTCCGCTAACAATAACGCCAATAATAATGCACATAAAAATCTATAAATATCTCTTGATTTCCTCAATAAACGATCTGTTGCCTGGCCCTTGTCTTCTGTCGTTACAATATTACACCACTATTCAGTCTGTTTTGGCCAACATACCTAGGGTCAGGTAATCATTATATTATATTGGTTCTCGTCCGACGGCTTATGCTCACTATCACCGATTACTCGTTATATCTTTAATAATCTGCCAGTTCAAGGCTTTTGCAGATCATCTCCTCACTAGTATTCGCTGATATTCACTCAAAGTTCATGAAGAAAAATCAGTCAATATGACACCTACTCATCTCTTGTAAGATACATGTACTCATCATGCATCATCTTTATTATCAAATGCCGTAGATCTGAATGCTATCAGTAATAACAGTAGAATTTAAAACAACACATTTAAGCGAATAATATTGTTTTCAATTAGATCCCTAGATCTCAAGGGAAGTAAATAAAATGTTCTAATGAAGGTGCAGTAAGATAAGAGAAGGGTTGAAAATATAAGTAAGGGATGGTAGAGAAGTTATCAGTTCGTTAAGTCTTAATAGACCAAGGGAGGGATAATGGCTGTACGAACTTCTTTTGAATGCAAAGTTTAGGTTTAATAGTGCCTATCGCCTTAGTTGTATGCGGTAGACGAATACGAAGTCTATTGGAAAGGTTTGGTGGGATACGATGAATTACCTAGAAAGCTTTCGTCTTCTTCACTATATGACCACTATAGACTTAGTGTGACAAAAATGAGCTGCGGATTGTTTTTGTCTGTCCTTTGCCAAACCACGATGGGAGATGTTCAGTAACACGTTGGCTAAGCTGTCTAGTAGTACGCCCAACATAACTGTCACCGCAGGTGCGGTTGAATTGATAAATGTACATAGATGTGGCAACAATATCTAGCTTATCCTTCGGTTGCGTCCTAATCATTCGTCGGCTAGGGAATGACTAACAAAAGTTTGCTGCGTAAAACGTTCTTCATATACTCCTGGAAAGTCTCTGGAATAAAATCTAACTTGATAGGTCACCAATAAATTTTAACTTAATAAATAGAGGCTTTTTACGTGCAGTCATAGTCTCAGGTTTTCTCTCTGATGTTTTCATATGTTTCTTTATGAAACTACTTGGATTGCCCATCTCCGTCAAGGGATCGTGAATTATATTCCAATTCCTTTTGTAAGTGGTCATCCGTACATATCTTTCCTGCTCTGCTCGTAAGACATTTAACATTTCTTTGATATTTAATGGGCAATTAACTAAGGAAGTGTGTGTATTGCCCTGTGAACGTGCTTTTTCTACACACGCTTCTCCCAAGTGATTCATCTTCTCGCTACTTAGTAAGACGTCCCGAAAATGTAGTTTAATATCATTCTCCTCTTCATAAGTAAAAGGAAGTGGAGGGTGGATGTTGTTGAATTTCATCGAAAATTCGTCTGTGTTTGCATTCCCATCAACTAAAATAAATGAATCATCTACATAACGGTAACACAAATCCAACTGCCTGATGATGTCTTTCAATCTCCCGTTTTCAAGTTTTGCGAAGAAGAAGTCAGCTAATATTGGGTCTAATGGTGAACCCATAGCTATCCCTTCTACTTGTCGGTAATAGTGGTAATAATAGTTACCATAAAATGGTCATACAAATTTATTGTGATAATATATTTTACTATGACCAGTAGTGGAAAGCAGAACAGGACACAAATTTAATTTTGCTTAAGAATTAACAGCTAGCTGTATATACACGTGTTGATTTTTTGTTTGTATGAGATCTAAATCTACATTAAACGACAAAATATTAACCAGTGGATTATTTGATTTACACTAGCCGCTCCTTTTGTGACAGATATCAGTTTAGTTTAAGGGTTTTAAATCTCTTTGTTGTAAGTCTAAATAAGCAAGTTGATATTGTCTTTGTTGATACTGCTTATGATCACATCTTTTTGGGATATTTTGCGTTATTTAGTGGTAGCATGGATAATTATCATTTTTATTTTTATATTTCTTTATTTTTGATTACAGCTTGATGCCACACCGTATTTTTGGTACCAGTATGGAATTTTCAGCATGGATATCGGTAGCCCAAATTTTGCAGGCCGACGATAGATATCGGGTGTGCGTTGGAAGGGGATCGAACCCCGGACCATGTGCATGATCGGCAAGAGTCCTAACCACTGTGCCACCGACGCACATCATCTTCTTCGCGTATTTGACAAGCAAACTTACTAGAAGTTGTTACATTTTACAAAAGTCATTTTGTGTAATCTACGATATCGAACTCAATAATAAGGTTAGCATAAGGTCAGGATGATTAAAATGATAAACAAAAACATTAAATAAATGTGTTATGAGTATTCAACTAAAAAACTAACTTACTAGGAATTGATAAATTCACAAATGCTGATGGAGGTAAATATGATAAGAAAGATTCAGTACTATAACTGATTAGTCCACTGGCTCCTTCATTTAAAAACACTATTAATTCTTCCTTAGTTGGTACTTTTCCTAATTCCCAGTCACCCATTAAACCAATCCAACGTGAAGTGAACTGCTGACTACGTGCTGATGGTTCTTTCAATAGTAACTGAAGGTGATTTTTAAGTGAGATTCCAGTGAATTTTGCGTTATTATTACCATCGTCATCATTGCCAATGACTGTCTCTCTAGGAGCACTAGTAGTTATGTCAGCGCCAACTATTTCAGTGTCTAGAAATGGATCGACCAGATAACGCATACACGTAGTATTGACCACCAGACATCCTGAGTTTTGCTGCAAAAATAATGATAAAATTGGTATTTAGAGATGTGATACGTTTGGGGATAGAATACTGAAATCTGCTTAGTGAAAGGAAGACATCTTTTGGAAATTCTGGATATGGGTTGTTTTTTGTGTGTTTCAGACTTACTTATAACGCATGCTGGTTTCCACTGACGATGACGTTTATTCTAGGACACCTCATGTTTTCACTTTTGAACACATTTCTAACATAAATTTGTTTTTCAGGTTTTTTAATTGATGGAAATGAAGATAAATTTGAAGTCATAATCTACCACAGGTTATTACATAGTTGGAGGGAATCGTCAGGAAGCCTTGGACCTAAGTTTTGTGCTAGTTGGCACTCGTCAGCAAGGCGTATCATAAAATCGATGTGCACCGTGATGGCGTGCTCCCTATAATGGTGCCCACATTCCAAACCTGATTGATAGAATTCAGTCTGCACCATAGAAAGGACTAGACACGTCACACTAGTTAATAGTGTCTAATCAAAAAAACCACCACGGGTTAATTAACTAAACACAGATAATTATAGCTGAGATATGTTACAAAAAGAGTGGAATAATGCTTTAGCAAGGCCCAAAATACTTTATAAACACCATATTTTCAACAGGTGATTCAATAGTAGAATACTCGTAAACTACACACGCAATCTAGGGTTCAATTCCCTCCTGATTCACTTGTAAACTGCCTAGTTAATATCCGATGGTAGGGTATGCGGAGACTCATTTTATTAGTTGCGATGTCTATAAATACTTGACTCCCATCAAATGTATATTTAGCTGCAGGTTTGTTTTCAACTAACCCTACTGAAGAGAAGACTTTCCCACACTTAAACCGCTGGCATCAGCACAGTTCCAGTTACACAAAAGCTCTTGGAATTAGTAGAGGACCATAGTTACAAAACGAATCACGACCTACCTGCTTGGAAGATTGCAACGGTGGCAGTTTGGCACCAGTGTCACGCAACAGAGGATGTCGACTAGATCCACGAATGACATCTGTTTTTCTCGCTGTCTTATGCTGTGCACTTTGTTCGTGATTTTCAGCTGACTGATCATCAGATTTCTGTGTATTCTGATGTCCTAAAATAATTTCAGTTTTCTAGTTAATATGTATCTAATAATTACTAACTAGTTGGCTATTACTCGATGATTAAGTTGGTAGTAAAATAAAATAGTGAAAGAGTCTAACATACAAACTTATAGAAAAGTCGCATGAGTGCGAAAATTATTAATAAAAACGCGTCAGTTAATAAAGTATCACACAAAGAAGTAGGAATTTGTTAGAGGAATATGGAGATTCAGTTTCTGTAACCAATAACAAAGGCGTTCATCCTTGTGAAATGAGAACACAGAGTAATGAGGGGTTAGAGAAACTGACTGCTGGTCTGTTCTGCAGCAAACAACCTGACATATATATATATATCAAGGGTGGTTGGAAGATTGTTTCCAAAATGATTTGCAAAATAATTCTTCGGCCTAATGAGCATTATGATTAAGTCATTTTGGAATCCTCTGCTCAGTGACGTTGGTTTTAATCTAAAAGGACTTAGAGAGAAGGACATATCTGTCTTGATTATAGTTATTAACGCGCAAAATGACAAGGATTTTCACGGAGCGTCCTGCTTTTATACTATGACCATATGAACTGTTTTCGCACTTATAAGGGGGAACCCAAATCATTATTTATCTTCAATGTTTTGTGGGGGTAGATGTGGTTTCATCAAAATACGAGACACAAATTTCACAACTTCAAATTTGTCTGAAAAAAATGTTTTTCTTTTGAAGTATTGTACAATTAAGCAGTCGTCTAAACATTATACAGCTGGGGAATTATTTCTCATTCGTTTACCGTTGGATAAGTTATTGGCACATATAAGATGGACTTAGTTACTTGTTGCTGTATCTCTTCGAATTCTATACACAATATAAACATCGAATAACTACACCTAGTTTATAGGTTTGTGAATTTATCAGTTTTTAGAGCTATCAACATCTTTCCTCTTTGGAAGAAAACTGGATAGTTTTATAAGTTCATTTCAGACCTAGTCGTTTAGAGGTAATGAACCTAGAATAATTCATAAACTTTCGGATTATTCTCATAGGGCTTGATAACATATACTACTGAAATGAAACATATTTTCATTGCATTCTGATATGCCCAAAACATGTTGTGGTTCTCCCCGTAAGGAAAGAAAAGTTCAAACCTGCCTCTTTTTCTGAAAAATATTGAATGAGTGACATTATTAATCATTAGATTGTGTAGTTATTGAGTGAATTTGCATAAAATGAAAGAAAATTAATTTCAACAAACCTGTTAAACGTGAATAAAGCAGCTGTACACTAAAGTCTCGTGTCAACCAGCTGAATGGTAAAACTCTATTAATTCTCTTCAACGCAGGTGAATGGTTTTGTTTGCTAGAATTAGATGCTGCTGTAGTTTGACCTCTTCGAATAAGAGAACTTTGTCTTCTATACAATTGGCAATCAATACTACTTAACTCAATAAGTAGAGTATTCGTTATTAAACATTCCAGAGGTAGTTCATTCAGCCAAAAATCTGAAATTACAACCAACCCATCACTAGGAATATTTGACTGACTATTGAAATGTTGGTCAAAATAAAAAGACAACTGTTCAGCCGTATTAATTTCGGGAATAATATTCTTTTGATCACTGACGCTGATAGTATCAGTACTACATCTTATACGACTACTATTTGAGGTTGTTTCAGGTATCCAGTGTTTAGATAAGGTTTCAAATATTGGGTCCAAATAATTGAACAACAGGACTTTTTCAGTGGAGTTCTTAAACAACTGGCTTTTCATCGTAATTATCTATAAAGGGTATAGACAGATAAAATTCATGTTACTTTGGAATGAAATTATAGGGATACATTATTATTGATTCACGAGGGACATTTCGAGCAAATCTTTATCCATTTTAGTTGTGCTCATGCCTTCATGTAACTATAATGAATAAATTGTGCCTGAAATATGATCAGTAAGCGGTGTGCTGTTTGGAATGAACTATAGTAATATGTCTGGACATTTTAGTGGAGATAATTCAACTACTCAAATAAAAAAAGGTAGTAACAAACATTCACTGAAAGTTATCAAAAAGCAGATGTCATCAAGTGAGGAGTAAATGGAAGTTAAAAGTCATTCACCTGTGCTTCGAAAACTTTTCTAAAATTTAAATGTTCCCACTGGTATAAAGCAAACTTAGGGAAATCTACCAAACATGTTTCACAACCTTGAACTAACTTGTTAGTCCTCCTTCTCTACACTGAATGAATCTTATATTACTAATTGCCATAATCATCTCGTACCTCACTACATTTTGTAATTGCATTCAGCCTGATACGTTTGTGATACAAGTACTATTCGCTTTGTCATCATACAACCAATGTGTTATTTTACGTTGCCGCATAACTTTCTATCACTGTAATGATATACAATGCTTAATTTTGTACCTGAAATAAGCTGAGGGGAATTTATTGAAAAGAGCATTTTTCGTTCAGACGAACTTTTAATTCAGGACATGGGGATATTTCACGCCCTTAGGCATTACATTAAATGCCATAATATTTATTATTGTGTGTTTTGTACAAAAAAACCCGTCCAGAGTTAAATCGTCCTTTTTCCCACTTTATTTACTAATTTCAGTGCAGATGACGTTAGCAACTAAAATGAGTCAAAGAATCATGAGTAATCAGGCAGTCTGGACAGCTGTTTCACATCCCACCTTAGGACTCTATAGTGTGCACTTACAGTCCCACCAGTTATTGAACTCAGGACCTCTAATTTACTAGGCCAGCCTGTTGATCACCCAACCACTTAGGTGCAGGTCGAAAGGTTCGAGAATTCTAGCTTCTGTCAATCCACTCCTTGGTATGGTTGTGAGTACTCTTTGATGAAGAGTCCCAAACTAGGACGAAATAGCTGTTTAGTGCTGCCTGGTTTCCATTGATTCTCTAACTAATGTTATAGTTTGTGACGAATTCTACAATGAAATTAATCAAAATCCCTATAAAACCCACAATGGGATTATTATTATAACTAATATGTGGTAAAAAATATAGCCGAAGAAAACATACTTGATTTACTTCTTTAAATAAGGTATTGTTGTTACTTTTAATATTTGCATATTTCTTCAACTGTTCATCCAAATGGTTTAAACTATTCTTCCAGGAACAAATTAATTTACATTTTGTGACTGGGTCTGTCTCTATCTTCATGAAGGTATACTGACAGTCTCCTGCTAAAATATAAAAGAATGAATAGAATAAAGAATTAATGATTTCATGTCTCAGTAAAGAAATGATGACTGAGTTAAGAAACAAGAGTCTTCATGTGGGGGTAGATAATTCATCTACAAGGAATAAATCGTGAACAAGTTGTTTAGCATATATTCAGTCTTGACGATCTAATCTATTTCACCAAAAGTTTGAAGAAACATGTGGAAAATATTTTCAACAAAACCTATCAGGTACTTACCAAGTTTTCTGTGTTAAAGTAAGTAGAATACAAGGTAAAATGTGAAAATGAATCAAAAGTTATATTATTCTTTACTGCTATTGCTCCACTTTTATTATTTAATGGGTATAGTATAAAAATAATAGAGAAGATTTGTAGCTCAGGTGGATGATTTGCAATTAATAGTGTTCTCTGAGCTGGTTGGTTTAGCTGCGAAGCTTTCATCGCCCTTCTGGACAACATCTTCAGCGCCATATTTAGCACAAAGCGAAGTGATTTAAATGTCTTCATGAGTGATATAATTGCGTCTCCTGGTAACTATCTTTACATGTGTATTGACTATATAGTAGTATAGTATAGTATAGTATAAACCAATGTATTTTGTGGCTGGAAACTGAGGTCATTAAGTGTGGTGTGAAACATTTTTTGCTGAGTATTCATAAACAATGGATGGTCTGAATACGAAGAAGCAGAGTGCTTCATCCAGTATGTAAGCTTAAATTTGTCAAATTTTATATCAAATCTTTTTAAAATGACTTATGAAGAAAAATAGTTTCGCTTGACATTCTCGAAGAAAAATAGTTGTTAAAGTATGTTGTAAGTATAATGCTTTTATCAACTAACTCAAATAATGACATCTTATGGATATCATATTCACAGTGAATGAGTAGAATGTTATACTTTTCTCCAATGATGCAATCAGGGTAATTCACCATCTATGTTTTACCGTAACAAGTTCAAATGTTGTCCTAAAAACAGTATTTTAATTGCACTGATGACCATTTAAAGTTGAAGACTTTAAGTACCCCAGTTAATTCCCTTATCACAGTTTTCTTTGAAGAATGAATCAAACTAAAGAACCAACAGCGACTAAGAAGTATTGATAGGCAATTTCCTTCCAATCTGAGACTCATCCATGGTGAGCACTCCTTACTTTACGTGCGGTTCACCTTATGAGCATTAAGTGTCTTTATTTAATAACAATTGATGGTTTTGTAGCTGAGGTCCGTTCAAAATGTGATCTCCTTTGAAGTCTTTCAATTCCCCAACTGTTTATAAGGTTTCACATAAGCATATTTTTGTTATTATGCGATGAGCAGTGTTCCTTTGACAGTGGTTTACATAATTTGTCAACTAATATTATGAAGACAGCAGACATTTGCATACGGGCTAAAACATTCCTTCCTGTCTTTAAAGACACTAGAGGAATTGTAAATGTCTAAAAACCTTCCATCTATGCATTTCTGCATACTTGAAACATCTTGGTTCTAGATATTAGGTTGTTTGCTTGCACCTATTACATAAACAAATCTGAAGCCTACGGAAAATTCTTACTGCCTAAGGAATTTAAAATTTTTACTAACAAGTGACTCATTGCAAAACGTTTGGAAAGAAGGAAAAGTGGCTACTGATTGGAATAAGGGCTACCTCGTCAAGCTGCCAAAGAAGGGCAACTTAGGCCTATGCAAGAACTGGCGTAGCATTATGCTCTTGTCCACGCCAAGTAAAATACTGAATCGCATCATCCTGACGAGAATAAAGGATGCACTGGATGCAGGACTCTGCCCATCGGAGCAAGCTGGATTCAAGAAAGGTAAATCATGTGCTGATCAAATTGCAACTCTACACATCGTCATCACAGAACAAACATAGAATGACAGTCAAACCTCTAACTAAACTTCATTGACTTCGAAAAGATCTTCAACAGCGTTGACCGAGACGTAATTTGGAAACTGCTTCAACACTACGGTGTACCTCAAATCTTTATCAACCTCATTCAAAAGCTGGGTATATCACAATGAGGCCAAGTATCAGGTGATCCACAACGGGATACTCATCGAGGCGTTCGAAGTGAATGCAGGAGTAAGACAAAGCTGACTGCCTATTATCATCGGTGATATTCTTACGTGTA